TGCAATATTCAGAATTGTAATAAAAGCGCTCGACACCGTTTAATGTTATCGTTTCTGCGGTGTGGTGACAGTGGTGACCACGAGGTACCGACAAAACAATTCCATGTTTTGCCGGTACAGTTCCACGTGGCGATACTGTCCGGCAAAACACGGCATTGACATTGTCATATTTATGTAGATCGCTATTGCCAATAATATTCCTGTCAGTGTCCTGTTAAAACGTAAGGACAAATGTGTTTAACAGCACTGTTGTGCATATATGTATATATATATATATATACGATATGGCCTGTGTACTGCGATAACCTCTATAGTCTAACACATGCTTTGATAAACCATGATCACACTAAATACCTAAGTTAAGCATTGTAAGATAGCTGATATTTTATCATTTCCAGAATACACAAACTAAAATGGACAACGATGGCCAAACGTCTAAAATATCTGTGTGTTGTGTCCAGCAGGTCACATAGTAACGAGATATAGCTTGATAGAATTGCTGCGCGGAAATATATAACGGGCGGAAACCAATGACTAGACAATATTGACAGTTTTACAAACAAATATTTTTTACTGAGAATTATCAACCGATAATATGGAGTTAAATAACCACCAACACAATACCAGTACAAATTAGTGATAGGGATTGGAAATTCCTTAATTATCAGCCTTTAGTTTTGGTGAAAATGATTTGCTCCAATATGCATGTTCAGTTCTCTTATATCATTTTTTTTTTTTCATTTTAACAGATGAACTATCTTATCTTGGCACTTTGGCATGTTTGAATGTGGAAGGTCTTGAAATTGGGATGAAGAAGGCCAGGGAATGTCACAGAAATAAAAAAAAAAAAATGAAATTATTTGCAGTGTTTGTGTTTTATGGTCATAAAACATGGAACATTTTCCTCAAGTAAATCAACCACATGCTTTCTTATGATATCCTAGTAGGTAGGCATGGTTACCTAAACAGCGTGTATGCATACCTGGTCACTGTTAGACCATTTTGATTGACTGGTGGAAATTTATGTCAGTTGTAGCTTGGTCAATGATGTATTATACTGAAAATAATCATACAGGATATGGGGTGACTTTCATGTCATTTTGACATATTTCTAGTTTTATACTGAACAGAAACAAATTTGAAAATAGAATACATACCCCAGGGTGCAGAGAAGATGTGGTCATTGAGAGCGAACCCCTTGGGTTTTGATAACATGTATTTCACTACTGCATGAGTACAGCTGTAGGTCACTTTATAAACTAGATCTGCTGCTTCAAATGTACGGTTCTGTCTACATGTACTTGATAGGAGGGAGCAAACTTGAAATATAAAGTGTGCTGCACAAATTAAACTCAATGTAATTCTAATCATTGCACCACGACAACGCCTAACTTTAGAAACTAGCCTTGGTTACAAAATAATTTTGCATTGATACAGTCCGGTGTTGTAACCCCTGCCTGTATCTACATATGGTGCCACATTAATGAGAATTGTTTGTGATTGGAAAGGTTTGTGATGGAGATTGTGCACATGTTTTAGAGGAGAAGGCTTTTTTTTATTTGGATAGTAAGTTATTCTGTTTAAGGCAATACACGATGTCATGGATTAAAACATAACAGGATACGCATTTGCTTGCATTATATATCATTCAAACAGCTTTATTGTCATTACCTACTTTTATTCATGATTGGTATATCTCCGACATATACTATGAAATATAATGTAATGTCCTGTTCGCCAATAACAAAATCACATATGGAATAGGTGTGAACCAAGGTTATGCCTTATTAAGTCGTTTACACTGACCAAACACCCTACATAGATACATGTATAGGCATAAGAATAAAGTGAATATCCAGGGAAAATCGTAACAGAAATGATTTTTGATTTTTTTCTATTTTTTCTTCAGACATGTTTAATCCTGTTTTCGTCATACGGTTACTCTGTATTTATCCTATATACATTTCGTTGTTATACATGTTCTCATGTTTAAGAATGGATTAGAACCATGGGAAACATTTTATTGATTATATAATATTTATATGGACGATGGAAATGGTAAAAAATATGTTAGTTGGCCTTTGTTGGAAGATATGTGTATATGATAATTTATATTGATAATATTGTACTGATTATGTAGGTAAAATGGTGGAGTATTAATGCAGAAAGTTAGCTTTGGTTGACCTTACTCATCGGAGTTGGGGGAATTTATTAAATCAGTTATCTTGGTTCCAAAGTAAAAACAAAAAACAAAGGAAATATATTTTTAAAAATAAACTGTGGTGTTTATGTATGTGGTTACAAGTATTTTAAAATCATTTCACAATGGATTTAGCCGTACAACAGATTTTACTGTTCAAAGGGAAGTAACTCAAGTTAGTATATGTGACCATTTGAAGCATTTAGGACTTCAGTAGGGAGGCTACCGTCGTGAGTTCGTATCCTAAACCTAATTCGTATTTTATCAATTATTTTGTATTGTTACATGTATCCATTAAAACCGTCTCTACTGTTAAACATGACTCAAATGGTCCCAAAAAGATCTTAAACGGCCCTGCTGAAAAATTTCAAACCGTCTTCCCTGTGTGTTATTTTGCAAACGCATTGTACTCTTAGTTTCATATAATTTCTTTTAACAGGACCTTAAATGCACTGGCGACACTCGTACCTGACCAGTCGCGGCCATTTAGCCTTGAAGATCTCCTTCAGGGTAGAAATTCTCTTTCTGAACTTCATGTATTGTGATGTACATGTAGAAAGAACTACCTTAGGGAAAACATATCTTTAAACTTACAAACGGATGACATTTTTAGATCTCAGCGACTCAAAGTAATATTGTACGATCATTTTCAATTTCTGATATTGTTTAAAAATATCAAATGGATAAAATAATTTACCTCCAGAGCTCAGTACGAGGTATGTTTCTCATTCGGAAACAAATTTACTTTACCTAAGACCTTTTTCCACATTGTATTTAATGTATTGCTACAGTACAGATAGACAGACACCTTCTCTAGGACAGACAGTAAGTACATCTTTAACATGTTTTCCTTCAGTACAGGTCGAGAAGCAGATATAAACAAAAATAAACGTTTAGATAATTGGTCTATGTTTATGAAAACAAAGTATTCGTTTGTTACATTCTTCATCATAACTGAAAAAAGGACGAGAGAGATTTGATGATCTGAGCTATTGATAGCATCACTAAAATAGGTGTTTATTTTAATTAAGCAAAGTAAAGACCAAACTGTTCAAAGATTTCCCCTTTTTTCCCCCAGTATGATATAGCGATGAGTAATGAATACATCAAATCAAACAATAATTATTTCCTGTGGTTTCAGACCTACAGGTTTAACCATCATACTGCAGTGCGAAACATTGATTTGGTAAATTTATTACAACGCTATCAACTCCCTCTCCAATCAACAACATATGTATAGGGTAATGGTATAAAAGGGACTTTATATACACTGCCGTTTATACCAAGCTGATTTTTAATTTTAAATTATAACATTATCTTATACTGTAAATATGTAATAAGCTTTTATATAAGTTAGAAATACACTGTAAATGTTCACAATGAAGCATATAGACATATTTCTGTCACCATTAGGTAGGAGTCATTGTTGTGTGTGATTATACCGTGAACATGCCCATTATTTAACATAGTTACCGTAGTCTTTGAAGGAAATGTATGTTTCGTAGCAATAATATTAAGTTTTCTCTCACCAAAAGTAACAATAAGGTGATGGTGTTAAATCTAAGACCTATAACACAATCATATAAAGAAAAGTTAAAATGTATCACACTGTCACATGTTTTCTTCGACAGGAACCATTTTATATGTCAATGGAGTTTGCAGCCTAGATTTTAATGTAGGTATATTATCGAACAGGACTTTTTAACTGTTGACAAACTAAATTTAGATAGGGGTTTAGTATTTCCAGTAATTATTTACGTATTTTATGTTTGTTTTTCTCAAAAGGTTGATCGTCAACGTGCAGCTGGAATTCATTTTGGAACGATTTACACGAAACACTTGGTTAAGTATAAACAATATATTATCAGTGCTTTACATGACATTTCATAATTATCTGGTATGTATATTGTAAAGATCTTGAAAGACAAAATAGAGTAACATAAAAAAAAATCCAAAGAATGTTGTTTTTGTAAAAAAAACAGTTGATTAGAACAAGGCTGATACCATACCTACAACATTCTTTGTTGGACACATAAAAATAATGTAAACACACGCACACATAGTTTGTAATTGACAAACGAAGACGTTTATTTTTAGATCTTCACGTGCAATATTAGGACGTTGTGTGACGTCATAGATGAAGTCATAACATAAATTCTACATAATTAAGTAAAACAAACTAGGTAGTTGTATTTAAATCAGGCAGAAGATATTTATTATTTACATTTTCTTAGGTGCATCAATTGTTTGTTAGCATCATCGCCAGACGTCCATATCAAACGGAAAGGTCGACACATGTTAATCTTAGTCAGCACCGACATAACAAGTCGATTATAATCCAAGTACAAGACTTTAAAAGATGTTTTAAATTTTATGTGAGAAGAGCATACTTTATGAGATTATTCTTGAGAATATCTCTTCGTGATATAATCATTTACAGTTATGTCAAACCTAGTTATTAAATCAAACTAGCGAATTATTTGTACCATAATATGATATATTTAAAGAAATGATTACTACTGAATCGATTTTAAAATGGAAATACAATAGTGTTTTTTTTTACCTTTAAGCGTTCTTAAAGGCATGTGTAGCAGACCATGCGTACTGTTTGTTACACATGGACTATGGTACCGCTATTGCTTTAAATGGGTCACCCTGAATATCGTGTGGTCTGTAGGTCTATTTATAGATAGGTGAAGCACTTCAAGGCTGTTGGGTATTAAATGGCAAGTGCCTCCTGGTCGATCAATAGCATGCTATCATATGTATAGCCACGGTGTGGTGTCAGGTACGTCGACTGTCAAGCTCTAGATACAAATGTACTTCAAAATTAACAGTGGTCAAAACTGGCACCGACTGACAGGTTAAATGCTGCTCCGTTTGAACTATCTCGTTTATGTGGTGAACAAACAGTCAATGGTGAGTTGCTGCTGAAGTATTGTGTGGCGAATTTATTCATGCATAGTAAATCATTCCATGTATATGTTTTAGTCAATCGTTTTCATGTTTTAACATTCATAGTTTAGACATGGTTATTGAGGGTTATAGTATAGGTATGTCTTATTTGTCAAATACATGAATATACGGTGTGGGTGTAGATTCAATGTTTACAATAAATACATACACACATACCTATAGTTCACCACACACTTGTAATACACCACACATACCTATAATACATCACACATACATGTACCTGTAACACACCACACACAGGTAAACATTGAATATATGTGTGTGATACATAGAAATCCATATACGAATAATAGGGTAACGTTTCTCGGTATCCATCATTGATCAGTGACGTAACCTATTCGCCACACAAACCCGGAACAAATGTATATCTAATTCGCAGACTAGACAGGAGAGCCAAAGCTTTGGACCTTTGGCGATCATCTGACCAGTCCATCTATATTTGGGACCTGGATACAAGTCTGACGTCATGTCTGGAAGGGCCACTGCTGCTTCCGACAGTGATGATGATGGTGATGTGGTAGACATCACAGAGTATAGTGACCGAGGCAAAAAGTTGAAGAATTCAAAATCGGCATGGTAATGTTTTAATATTATCGTTAATTATATATATACATTTTTTTGATAATAGTGTTTAATTATTGAACAATCGACGTCTCCTCAGCTTCTAAATTTGTAAATCCATCCAATCTCGACTGATCGATTTTAAAATCATTGGAAACGTCAAAACATTACCTGAACCTGCTGTTACTTCCTTGTACATATAGTTAAAATTGTGAATTACTCTACACCTTTTTACACATAGGACTCTGTATTGAGGTTAACCTAAATACTTCCTGGTGTAGTTGATATAGCCCTCTTTATAACCACAAGCCCATTTGATACAATATATGTAAATATGTATTAACTCATAGCAAACCATGAACCGTTTAAAAGCTGCCAATATTTTTGCTGCCAATTGATATACTAAGTATATGTGTACGGTCCTGACGGTGTACCAGGGACTCGTTAAGACTTTTCAGACGGGGATTTTAAGCGTGAAATATTAATTTATGGTTGTTTTCATATGTCAATTTCAAACAATTACAACTGGTTACCTTCCGTACATGTAAACAGTTTTTTTCGGGTAATTGTAAATTCAGAATGTCCCTAATGTAATATAATTTGTCCTTTTTTCAGCGAAACTAAACCAAAGGACCTGTTACAGGAACAAAAGAATTTTGCCCACAAAGCAATTTAACCATTACTGGGTTATATTTGTAGCTCCCTAAGACACGACCCATGAGATATTTTTAAAAAATGAAAAAGGTCCCCAGGGCCTGTGCTATTAACTATTTAGTGATGCCTTCCAAAGGTGTACGACAGGGTTCACTTTTTTGTCCAAAAAACTATCAAAACAATGTTTTACGCTATCAAATAATATTATATTATTTAAAGTAGGATCTGCTGCAAATTATGAACTCAAATATGTTACAAAAAATTGCATAATAAAAAAAATATAAAATCTTAAACTCTAAAAATGTTGGTATTTTCATACATTTTTTTGCTACATCAATTGCTTTACGGTAGTAAAACACCAATTTCCGGTTCTTGTACACCAAAAATCTTTTAGTATTATTTGGTGCATTATGTTGAGATACGATAGTGAAAATTTCAGAAAATTTGAGAACCGGTAAATTTGTCATATAAATGTCAAATTGTAGCAACGTCTATATCCAAATAAAATCCAACAACCTTATGATCTATAGTCATGTTTGATAATTTAACAATATGTCGCACCAATTTATTATCGCAACTGATCAAATTTTCATCAATAAGATCTGCTGCTCATGATGAGCTCAATTATAAAGCTAGATGTTGCAAAATAGAAAAGTTATGCAGTCTCACACACATAAACGTTTAGTATGTTATGTACATTTTTAGTTGTTTCGCATCTTTATGAAAGTGATATACATATTTCCGGTTTTTGTACACCAACATACTTTGGATATTATTTGGCACATTATGTTGACTGACGATAGTAGAAATTTCGAAAAAATCGGTATGCGGTAAATGTGTCATTTTAAGGATAATATGTGTATGACCAATGTCAAAATAAACTTCAATAACTTCAGGTTAATGCAAGTATTTCATAATTAACCCAAAATCATTCCAATATACTATCATGGTGGATGATATGGTTCATAGTAGAGTATGACTGTTTAACTAAACTAGGTAGTTAAAGGGGAGGAATACAGCAAAAGTTAGGCAATTTGTCAGAACATTTGGTGAACCAGTATAATATGTTGAAGATATGTTAACCCATCACATTGTTTCTTTTTAGGAGAGTTATAGTTTCCAATTCATGGATTGTTGTATTTACTGTTGTTGTTTTTTAATTTGACAACACGTAGTCAAAATTGAACATTCAATTTTTTTTCTGAATTTCTCCTTTCTCAGTTCAATCTTAGGTCTTATTATTTTTTCATATTATTCCCGACAAGTAATTGACCAGAAGTGCATCAAGTGTCCACCGATAAAAACTGATATTGACTTGGAGCGCGTGATTTTTGTTGAAGGACTGGGTGTTTCTAAAAATAGAATTATGATGTGTCTCCAAACAATGCACCGTCCCACTTCCGAAGCTTTTTTTTTCTCCCAGATTACTAACACTACTGTTTTGTAAAATAATAAAACAATTGAAACCTTTAACTTCGGTCAATACCTGGATTTATCAACCCGAGAAAAGATATATTGACCTCGGAATGCGTCCTCGGTTAATATATCTTTTCCCGGGTTGATAAATTCAGGTATTGACCTCAGCCAAAGGCTATAATTGAATAATATTTCTTTTTTGAATGCATTCATAATATGCAGTCTCTGAATTTGCGAGCTGAAGGCTGGACCGGTTTAGCATCTGTTAAATGTGCATAGTATCCTAGATAATACAGTATTGATGCGACATGAGTACACATACCCGATGTTCTCTTTCCTGCAGGACACACACAATAGTATGCCTTGACAGGATCCTCTGATGCGTGTAGGTCAAACTCTATCCAGACATTGTGATTTGCCTGCGACCTGTGGCGAGAGTGTATTTGGCCTCGGAGAAGGTCATCAGCATGTTGGTACACCCATATCTCATAATCACCCCCATCCGTCTGATGTTCTGTGATATAGTCAGGTGCCAGCTTCAGCTGATATGTACCACAAGCCAAAATCGCATTGACCTGGAGATATTGATGATTTAATTTGACATTGGTCATACAACATATTATCCTTAAGATGACACATTTACCCATACAATATATTATCCTTAAGATGACACATTTACCGCATACCGATTTTTTTCGAAATTTCTACTATCGTCGGTCAACATAATGTGCCAAATGATATCTTAAGTATGGTGGTGTACACAAACCGGAAATATGTCTATCACTTCCGTAAAGATGCGAAACAACTAAAAATGTACATAACATACTAAACGTTTATGTATGTGAGACTGCATAACTTTTTTATTTTGTAACATCTAGCTTTATAATTGGGCTCATCATGAGCAGCAGATCTTATTGATGAAAATTTGATCAGTTGTGATAATAAATTGGTGCGACATATTGTTAAATTATCAAACATGACTATAGATCATAAGGTTGTTAGATTTTATTTGGAAATAGACGTTGCTACAATTTGACATTTATATGACAAATTTACCGGTTCTCAAATTTTCTGAAATTTTCACTATCGTATCTCAACATAATGCACCAAATAATATTAAAAGATTTTTGGTGTACAAGAACCGGAAATTGGTGTTTTACTTCCGTAATACAATTCATGTAGCAAAAACGTGTATGAAAATACCAAACTTTTTAGAGTTTAAGATTTTATAAAAAAAATATTATGCAATTTTTTGTAACATATTTGAGTTCATAATTTGCAGCAGATCCTACTTTAAATAATATAATATTATTTGATAGCGTAAAACATTGTTTTGATAGTTTTTTGGACAAAAAAGTGAACCCTGTCGTACACCTTTGGAAGGCATCACTAAATAGTTCATAGCACAGGCCCTGGGGACCTTTTTCATTTTTTAAAAATATCTCATGGGTCGTGTCTTAGGGAGCTACAAATATAACCCAGTAATGGTTCAATTGCTTTGTGGGCAAAATTCTTTTGTTCCTGTAACAGGTCCTTTCTCTTTTTTGTTTTTTCTTGTAGATATATATTTCCTTCTTTGTTTTTGTTTTTTTAATGTACAATGTTTTTGTTTTGCTTTTTGTTTTTTATTTATTCCTTTATTTTGCCGTATTTAATATCACATACAATTTGACTTAATTTGGCATTCAAAACAAACTCACTTTATTAAACAATAAAACATTACACATAATCTTACATAATTTTACCACACCATCAGCCACACTACAATGCAGCATTCACAACTATCTTACGTAAAATTTGAATTAACCCAATCTTACATAATGTATCACTGCACTCAATCCTACATAGTTCAACATAACGTTTAACCTTACATACAGTGCAGATATAACTTAACACGAGGCGCAATCCTTCATAATGTCGAAATTGTCTTTCTTTCTTTCTTTCTTTCGTTATTACGAACTTAAATACAGGTGTACAAGGAAGTTTTTGGTGTGTATGTTTATAGTAAACGTGTCTATATTTGTACTAATATGGCCACAACACGTACATTGTTCATTGTATACCTATCGGTAGTTGTAATGTTCCGGATACTGTCACAAGGGGGCTCTTATGACTACTTATCTACTTATGTTCTCTTCATACTACAAGATAATTCACCACTGACCATATATTAAAACCTTTATTTTTATTTTATTATTATTATTATAATAGTTATTCGATATTGCCTAATATCCTATGTTAAATATAAGACTACTTGTATTGGTAAAGCGGACCACTCATGGTCTAAGTGTCCACTTAACCTTTAGACGGTTCATTTAATATTACTTTGATCCGAGATTTGGTTGTGGTGAGCGCCCTCACAAAGTTATATCACATAGACGTTTTGCAGATTATGAGCATGCATTATTTTTTTATATTTCATTTGTTATAATATGTTATGTAATTGTTCGGCTTGTTTGTATTAGGCACATTATATTTACGACAGGTAGTCCATTTCTTAAACTAAAATTACTTATGTAGTTAATTGATATCGGGATTAATAGGGTTTACTCTGAACGGAAGCTGTAGTTTGGAATAAAAATTGGAAAAATCCCCATATCTAAATAAACATAAGGAAGTCGTTTTTCGGTATCGTTGCCGCTGAAATATATCAATTATGCGTTTTTATGCATTTAACTCACAGTTGCTAATGTCGCTGTTTAATGTGCATAGACTGAATATAATGTTCATGTTTCATTATTGTGACAAAGATACATTGTGTCCCTAGAAAAGAAAAAGAAAAGAAAAAGAAAATTCAATCATATACATTAATAAGGACACGTAATATAAGGTATATTCGATTTGGTAATTATAATTAATAAGTTTGGACTAATATGCTATTAATATTTTTAATTAACTACGGTTTAACCTAAGTCTTTATATGATAACAGGACAACAGAGGCTCCAACAACCATGCGACAGGAGATAGAGGTAGCAGAGTCGGAAGCTATGTTCTACCGAGGAATTCTCGACGTCATCATAGCGCACCTCGATCCCAACATGGAAGATGGTGAAGTCGAAAGGCTCGTGCTGCCACCTCAAGTGCCAAGTGACGTCAGAAAGAAGCTCCGCAAGTACAGGGTTGAGGCAAAGAATATCATCGAATTTATTGACGATAAAATGGGGTGAGTTGAACAGAATTGTGAACACATTCAACCAAATAATATGGTCTCAGATAACATACATAACGTTGATTCTTACATTTGTTCATATTAATTTAAGTTGTGTGATCGCACAATGCACAAAATATACCGTCCGCTCATAGTGCGCACAACTGTACGAGTTACGAATCGATTGTCCTGTTGTGCGATAAAATGCGGCCATATGTGCGATATGGTTCGATCAATTGATTGATGTTATGAGGTTCATCGTATGGGTATGAAATATCCGATTGGTATACTTTGCACTTTTCTAATTCTTCAGTGTATGTTACATATCATTGCAATGCCTGTTAAACTGTCAATGACAAAGTTTTACTAATACACGTACGCAGTGAATAAGCCGCCGATGAATCGGCGGCTTAAGTTCATCGATGATTGGATTGTTATTAAAACAGAACAGAACCTTACCTTTTTTGTAAATTGTGACTGTCATGCTTTGTATGGTAATTCTACATCTCCTTTATGGAATACTAGCGATACAAAATATACCTTTTACACACCGTGCGAGCCATGCGCACATGGTGCGCACACCGCAAATCGTGTAACGTTGTGCGATCCCCCAAATGAATGTGCATTTTTATTTGTATTTATTTTTGGAACAGGAACGACAGCGACGATGATAAAGAAAATGAAGACGAGAAAGCTGAAGCTGTCTACCTTACGACACTTATAGAAAAACTTTGCTCGGCCGTAAAAGGGAACACAATATCGTCAAAGTTTAAATTACCTCGTGTGCCTGTCGTAGACGCGGAGAGAAAAGATAGACTGAAAGGGTACAGAAAGGACGGAGGCGAAATCGTGGAACGTCTTAAACGGTTAGATATCACATCTATAAAAAAAACACAAATTGTTGTGAAACGCAGTTTGATTAACAAAGCTTGACAAAGGGAACAGTCGGTCTTGATACGTTGCGATACTTTTGATACGTTCATTGTTTGTATAGAAGAGTAAATCCTTGATTTATACACAATTTCCAAACGAATGAATCCTATAGAAGAATTTTGATTCGATTTCCAATTGATCTTGGTGTTATTTAACACGAATTAACAATTATCAGTATTTTTCTTTCATAACACTGTTTCAGTGATCATTCAGGTATCACTCTGGTAATGTATCAGTGATTGGTAGTTATCAATTTACAGGATTAAATAGATTTATTGTCAGTTATTCTATCTAAAAAATATGCTGTTATAATATCAAAAAACCTTTTTTCAATAAAAACATTTTTGTCAATTATTATAAAGGTTGAAAATTCAAAAGATTGATAGAATCACCCAGACAGATTTCCTAAAGGAAGACTGCAAAATTCAGCAGACACGGGTCACAGAGTACATCGATACTGGTTCTTCCACACAGACAATTCCCGAATCTAAGAAGAGGAAACTTGTACAAAGATCAAGACAAACTCAGACAGACTTTGACGACCAGGATTTAGGTAAAGCACCAGTGACGAATCCAGTAAAACAGCCAAATGTAGCGGTTGCACATCCACCTTCATACAGCACTGTTATGGCCGACCACAATGTTACAGGAAGCGGCGTGGCGAATGCCAATCGTGGACAAGGTCCAAATACACACTTTTTAAAAACAGTGAAAGGTGCCCAAGGTGTTGAATTCATACATCAGCAAGCACAATGTGAACAACAATATCACCAAAACCAACATCACAACTTCCACCACTTTGGACAACAACAACAACAACAACAACAAGACAAACACGTGGTGTCTGACAATACGTTTGCCAACGTCGGAAGTCGAAATACTGCTGATCATCAGGACAAGTCGACTGAATGGCAAAATGGTGAAAGTAACCGATGGAGTCCCGATAAGAAAGCGGAAAAGTCGGATGGAAGTGTATTTCCAAATACAGGCGATGATCGGTCAAATGGGCTCGGAAGCGGCTCCGACTTTTATAATGACTTGATGAAGTATGGAGGAGGAGTTCCTCAAAGACCTTCAAATAAGTCGAACGATGACTATATCAATACATTGGAAGCTGAAATTCTCAGGTTGTCTTGTCGTATATCGTTGCTTGAAACGCAGCTTCATGACTCTCAAAGGACTCTGGTAGTATCTGCTTACTCAAACGATGCGGTTCTTGAAAGGTATTACACTCATGAAATTTGTTTTAACCTGCCCAGAAAAATTATATGCATTCCTCTGGTAACGAGATAAATAAGTAACGTCTAAGTTCGTACCTTTTTTGTAATCTTTATTTTGAGAATTCGGAATAATTAACGTTGAAAATAAACAATTATTTGCTAAAGAAACTAGTAATGTTCATTTTGCAGAGTTAGCAAGCAAATTAAGTCAAGTGGTCAGGAAATGTCCAACATTAATGACGAGACACTAATTCCGCCGATTTCACGAGACGTAGAGCCGTCAACTCGGGAAATGTCGGATCTGGCGGACAAGAACAGGCCGATCAAACTGGCAGAAAGATTCGCACGCGTGTATGACCGAGAGTGGATAGACATTTTTCAGTTTGAGACAACTGACATGAAAAAATCCGAACAGAAGGCAATAGCCGATATTTTGGAGATTCTGCAGGTAACTATGTAAGATAACAGTTTTGTTTTACATCTGGCTTCACCCTTTTACCGGTTGTCGTAAATATATCGATATTATGTTAACAACAACTTGCATGTCTGCTGTATTACAACAAGATGACGCATCAAATGGTATTCGACCGTTCATAACTAATATTGATATCTCTCATAGTTTGAATTCCTCAAGAAAATGTCATCTTTCAACTGCTTAATGTTGTGGGGATTTTCGTTGGGTTTAATTTTTTTCTTATTTTCTAGTAGTTTATTATTTGCAAGATCATCAATGATCTAGTTTCAAATAATACTACGTTTAAACAAAAAAATGTTCGTATTTCTTTATATTTCGTTATGTCAATTGTTTCAATCGCTTCCCTTACATCAACAGGGCATTTACAACATATGTATAAGGGTAACAGCAGAACAGATCGACGACTGGCATACACAGATACAAGCCAGCCAGACATCAGACCTACCAGAGGTATTGTAATGATATAAAACTGTTCTTTTATAATTTGTTCGTGCATTTTTTCACCTTTATTGTCATCAGCTCTAGCGTAACTATTAAGTTTCAAGATTTTCTTTTATGTTATGTGTATCTGTTTCATTTGAGCCATTTACTGGTATAAGTGCAAGGTTTATGTATACCGAGACTGCACGAGGAACAATAGATAAAGCATTTTGATCCATTTTTTGTTCAACCTGTAGCAGGTATTTACATGAGACGATGTACCAATTTCGATGTATCTTGTAGTTCCTTAGACGCATACGAAAGCTAAAAGACAACGACCTACTTACATCATTAAAACAAACGCAAATCGAGATGTCTGAACAGACGATCCCAAGTATTAGACAGGTATGAGTAACCTCCGATGACTTGAAAATACTTCAGTTGAACCTTTTATTTAAGTTTCAAAGCTGAAACATGTTTCTTTTAGGATATTGATAACGATTGCACGATTTTTGCACGTTTGTATCGTATAGATTCAATAAAACTCCTTTATGAATAAGAATAGATATATAATAAGAATATTAAATTATTTAAAAAAGTAATTGATGATGAAATAAACATGTTTTGATTTGTTGATAAGTAAATCATGTTCGTTCATCGAGAAATCCATAAAACTCCATTACCCCACCCCCCACCCCCACCCCGTGTATTAACATTGATGTTAAGTTATACAAACAGGATGGAAATTTAGTAAGGTTGGACCGTGTCCAAAAGCCGTTATAGTATTGACTCAAAAGAAAATCAAAGAAGAAGTTACGATTTTGACATTGTACAAAATGTTGTTATCATCGGGATCTACCTAAGGTCTTACTATCATCAAAATAAATCCAAATGTTGTTATCATCAGGATTTACCTAAGGTCTTAGTATCATCAAAATAAATCCAAATGTTGTTATCATCAGGATCTACCTGTCTTACTATCATCAAAATAAATCTAAATGATGTTATCATCAGGATCTACCTAAGGTCTTACTATCATCAAAATAAATCCAAATGTTGTTATCATCAGGATCTACCTGTCTTACTATCATCAAAATAAATCTAAATGATGTTATCATCAGGATCTACCTAAGGTCTTACTATCATCAAAATAAATCCAAATGTTGTTATCATCAGGATCTACCTAAGGTCTTACTATCACAAAAAAAAATCCAAATGTTGTTATCATCAGGATCTACCTAAGGTCTTACTATCACAAAAAAAAATCCAAATGTTGTTATCATCAGGATCTACCTAAGGTCTTACTACCATCAAAATAAATACAAAAGTTGCATTGTAACTATTACTTATTCTTGTTGTTTATCTATCTATCATCAATAATTGTGATAATGCTCGTGTGTAACATTTGCCGAAAACGCGCATTGAAGAAAAGGAATAAACGTGCAATACATGGGTCGTATTAATTATTGATAGCGTTTCGTTTGTTTCCGAGACCCCAATTGTGTTAAACTTGTGAAATTGTTTTAATTATACGTTATATAAATAAAATTTAGTTTTGATTACAAATGCTACTGCATCTTTTTGACATGTATCGGAGCAGTGGTAATATGCAAAACAAATTATATAACGAATGTAGTTAGTGGTCAATGAAATCAGAATTTGAAAACGTTAAGATGTTTTGCTTCGAAAATCATAAATGATACATTTCAATGTTTTACTTTGCAAAATAGGATTTTAATGTGTTCACGTAGTGTATATCAGTGCCCTTTTGTTTTCCCGAGTATGCTGTTATTGATGCGTTCTCTCCTGGTGTTCCTTTGTCACAGGAAGTGGTCTCCAATGAAGCGTTCACGTCGTTTTACGGCCCCGAGTTAGCCAGTTGTGAGCGGTTTGTGTTCGCGTGTGTTGATGTATGTTGGCTGATGGCAGTGAGGCATCCACCTATGCTACTCGACTTTACGTGTAAGAAAGGGTCAAAGTTCGACAAGGATGTATTCTCAGCATACACCAAGATGGGCAAGAAGGTGGACTTCCTCGTGTGGCCACCTGTCTACCTCTACGAAACAGGACAACTGCTTTACAAAGGAATCGTCCAGCTCTTATAAGCAGGCACTTTTCAAGAAATATTTTCTCTGACATTTTTATAAACAGTGCTTATGTAGTCATACATATTTTGTACTCCGATAGGTCAAGACATTTTTGTGTCGAGTGAAGAAAAGACTTAAATTGAAAATACTTTTATTCAAGTCATTAATAATTCATTAAAATTGTATTCTGTTATATTTTAACGTTTTAGCATCCTCGGGTTCGGTGTAATAATAAATGATGTACCCTATATCAGATGCTCTATCTTGAAATATATTTTAACGTAAGAATTTTATGAATTCTTTCATGTACTTTGTTCATTTCAAAGGACTTAACGTGTGCTTTAATGTCGCATAGCTTGGAAATATGGCAACCACATATCTTCAGTTGAATTACACATCGATGGAATATACATAAGATATTAGAATAAAAAAGTGATCTTGGAAATAGAAAGACAGAAGTTGATTAATGATAAACATTTTCGATGCATGTTTTCGCGGATGAATTTTAGCGATTAAAATTGTGTAGAATCATACGTCGACCATTAATATAACCTCCCACAAAAATATCCTTATGTTAAAGATTTTCCTGTGAATGTTTCTTGTTGTTTAATCAATAGATACAAATAAACTATAAGAAAGAATCACTTTGGTATGTATCATTACAGAGCCTTCAATTATAGCATAAATCATATTCCATGAAATATATTATTTCATCCATTGATATAATACAAATGTACACATATACAAATGTTTCGTGATAATGATAATGTATTCGTACATTAACATTATATTTGAATTATATAAAGCTACCAGATTTACATTACAAACAACACCACTATACTATTAGATTGGCCGGTGACTGTGATATACAAAATCATGGTCTGAAATATTAACTAGTTTGAATATATGACATAATTATTAGTTGTTAATAATAAAAATCTTTGTAAGCTTTTTAATGTTCAGTTCCATCAAGCCTTACACACATTTCTTCAATATTTGAATGTATTTTATTGGTTTTTGTTGTTGTTGTAAATGACAGAATGACGAAGAATTTTGTTCGATAAAAACCATTCCACTTTTTTATTTAACCCATGTACGTGCATGACCCTTCGGTTAAAGAAGCGTCCCTTTTGGAGCAGACAGTGTCATATTTTAAACTATATTTATATTTAATAAAGAAAATGAGCTGTCAATATTGAAAATGAAATGAATACAGTTAGCATCATAACTTGATACCATATATTTCTTCTAAGCCAAGGGAATACCTAGTATAAGCGTAATGGTAAAATGAGTTTGAAGACTGCTATACAGATATAATATGGATACATTTCAGCCATCTTCTATTTCGTATAAGAATATGTTGATTTGGATTAAACAGAACGAACATAATAAAAAGTTCCTTTACACATTTTTTTTATTTAAACATATTTTATTGCAAATAACAGATGTTGCAAACGAGTTGGACACAGGTTTTGCCAACTTATTGAAGTCCCCTTCGACAAAAATTATTTGATTACAATACATATCACGCAATGTTAGAGTTACTTAAATATACATATGACAAGAAAGGTTTGTAGGTAAGAGAGGGGACAAAGAAGAGATCGAGATAACTTTCGAATTGGACACAGCTAACTTAAGTTTTATTGCATAATATAATTAGATTGTGAGCCATGTCAGAGTTCATTTTCCACGAAGACGGAGCTTGTGATAAACTAATCGCTTTTCACACACCTTCAGCTTGTCTATTGTCCATTACATCCCGTACCTTGGTTAACTTTCTCCTTGACATTCCTTCCTTGCTGTTGAAATCCTTTTCCACTTGTCCGACTTCGTGGAAAATGCCCACCCACATAGCATAATCAGTATGGATAAATATATTGTTTTATATAGATTGTGAAAGTTAGGTGTGTACGGTAATCGGATAACAGTTGTATATGGGGAGGAGAAATAAATACATGTGTATAATGAAAGGTGCATGTTTTGTTGTGAACACAATCAAATCATCAAAGTAATAGGCAGTAAATAAATAAAATTAAATAGATTATGTACAGATTGTGTTCATCTTTGAACTTTGCCTTTGTTGTTGAATAAGATATCAACCACGTTTCTGCAGAAACTGGCCTTATCTGACAAAGTTACTTGGCAAAAACCATTGACCAATCAGAGCACAGTATGCTAATTAATTATGCATGGATTTCACTCAACTTTGAACTTATCGTCTAAGTTTGTATATTGATCAATATATATTCAAGCAAGTTATCCTGTAAAGTGTGGACATCGACCAGCGTATGCATGCTTTTTAATACGTGTGAATTTTGTTCAAGTTTCAATTTTGCATCAGTCTGTGTATATTGTTACAGAACAATATTTAAGGATGTTAACTTGCTGAAACTTAATTGTGGACAGACAAGTGGATGACTGCTACCCATACCTTTACAAGTTTCTCAATAATTTTGAAAAGCTATTAAATACAGTGTTTTACATATTCACTGCAGTGAAAAGGTCTCTTCTTATGAAAAATGGAACCATTTTGAATCTGTGTTCCTAGGAACAAATAAGATAAAAAGCACTATAATTCAATATGATACATTGTTGTATGTTTCAATATTGAATAAGATAAACGAAATATAAATATAAATACTCACACACACACACACAAGATTAGGGAAGTTACATTATTTTCCCTCTATTTCCATTGCATAAATTCTTCACAAAAAAAACACAACTTTATAGCATATGTTCAGCTTTATCATCTTCATAGGCTAGCATTTGAAATAAGATGCACATATTAATTTCAAATATATTTTAAAAGAGTACTGCAAATGTACCAGCTAGAGCACATACTATGTTATCACAGTTGTCATTAGTGTTGGTTTCAGAACTGATAGCATTGTGCAACACATGTTGACAACAAATACTAATTGAAAGTTGAGGTTGCATGTGTATATGCAAACAGGTAGTGCATGATTTAATATTCAGAATGATGGAGCAAGTTTTATAACATTTTGTTTGAATACTTAGTAAGGAAAGCACTGAAATTTCTCTGTCACATGTACATGTACAGGTTGTGAAGCTGTAGCCTTCACCTTGAGTGTATGAACTTGACCTTAAAACTGTCTTGAACAATTGATGTTTGAAATTTAGAAATGAAGTTTGAAGAAATATGGTTGAAAACTTAAGAAATAATTGCTTGCATTGACATAGCCAAGACACAATCTTGTGTGGGATTCCTCTCATATATCACACAAGATTTAATATCAAATATCGGACACGGTAAAATCGAGTGAAATTAACAAACATCAAGTTACATATTACAACTTTTATTTTATTTCATTTATATTGATCATAAGCATTGCTAAAAGTACAATGTATACCAGGGATCTTACATTTCTTTTACTGCTTAACATTTGCGTTGACTTTTAATTCACTGGACAAAAACTAGTAGGAAGGCATGACCAGTATTTCTATCTTTAAAATACATATTTTTAATGTTTTTCCAATTTGCTCCCACCACCTATAGTGTTATATTGATCAAAACGAACGTAGTTTCCAACATAAGTGCCTTTAGTCAGTAGGGGCTGTTCAATCACATTCATCAGGCTTTCAGCATCAAATAGGGGCTGTTCTTTTTTGTGTGTAATGAAAAAAAAAAAGCGTCCCGTTAATTCAATCTGTCACAAGTAAAGATCACTGACTTCTCCATTAAGGAAAAATTTGCAATGAAAGCATTTAAAATATTCGCTGATTGAAGGATCTGTGGACTCGGCTGTCATGTGTTTGAGTAAAAATGATTTAGTCAGAGGTTCCTCCACTATACAGTAACTGACAGACTTCAAAATGTCATGTCACTATTGGTACAGTTCTTGCAGCCTTTAGAAAAAGCTCATGAAGTCCCTCATGAAGTCCTCAAAGGTATGAGAGAAGGGGTTCAGTTCCTATTTCATCAGGGAGATCACTCGTGTTTTCCCCGAGTACATGTCTGAAATCATTACGAAGGCGAAATAGATTTATCTTCATCAAGTATTCATTTGTTGTTTTTTTTGTGTGTAATGAAAAAAAAAAAGCGTCCCGTTATATAGTAATACTTGAATAAATGAAATACACAAATCACACCAACAGACATACAAAATGTAGGCCTATCGGCGCATATGTTTTGTTTCTGACCGAGCTGTAATTAGCGAGCAGGCGTTTGTGACACCGCTGACCTCATCTTTTATTGATATAAAAATGCAATAGAATATCTTATGATGAAATGGAACAAAATGATAATACTGCGAAGGTAAAAAAGGCCTTCAAGTTAGAATACCAATATGGAACTAGAGTAGGCCAGGGGCTAGTACTTATATTAATACTGTCGTGAATTCGATGTGTGTTTATTACACACCGTCACAACAAGTAGTTGTTATTGCTCCCAGCTCTTGAAATCAAGTAACAAGGTGGAGGAAAATCACTCGCGTTTTGTCTGTTGTATGTCAAGATGATAAGAGACGTCGGCGCGGTTATCGGTCTAAGGGAGATAACTCTACCCAAAATTCACCACAATACCCGGCCTCCTCTGCCCCGGCCGGGCGATCCCTTTTTAGTTGAGCAAGTCTGGTTTGAATCACACGGGGGCGATTTTAGAATTAATTTACATGATCCGTATCCATTAATAGGTTTGTAATATGAACCTTTTCTGTTGTTCTCCTACATAATTTTAAGTTATACTCTGCCATATATGTCGTTAAATTATCACGTTTACGAAGCAAGTGCAATCGAAATCTGAATTGACTGCCATGTTGGAAACTTCGTCCATCTTCCGATATACGTCAGACGTCTAAATATGGGTGTCATGCCTAAATATGGAAATTGTAGTAAACATGACGGCATACTAGAAACGGGTAATTGAGATAACATCACACGTGATCTAAAATGGCGGTCGTTTCTGTTTTTAGAGTTTTAAGGGTGGTAGCTATAGGTAAATCTTGTACGCCGCTCCCGCTCCCGTCCCAAAACCCCGTACCAGGCATACAGAGATATCTTAATATCTCATTAACGCGATCGTTTATATTTTTTATAAAATTATACAATAATATTAAACATTATTTTCTAAACGTGACAGTTACAAAAATATCTATTTATCATCTAACTATTTAGAAATTGACGATAATGTGTATTTCAAGGGGGTAAAACTTGTACTCCGCAGTCAACCGTGAAAATCACGGTTTTTCATATATAATTAGATTTTGAGTGAAAATTAAGATGTTATTTTCAGATATATAGAACAAAAAACCTTACTGTTTATAATTATGTAAGTTCGTTGCAATAAACGATAAATTTCACATGAAATTCTGACTTTGTTGTGATCGCGGGGAGTTTTGTTTACTCCCGTACCCGTGCTAAGGGGACATCACTCCGTCAAGACTCGTGCTAAATATGCATAATAATTATGTAAAAAAAACACTTTTAATACAACTTTTTCATTATTTCTTTTTCATTTAATAATCTGCTAATTTATCTCTTATCACAACACATCAAACGCCACAAGCTTATTAGATGTAGAAGGTAACTGATACACCATTATAATTCGTTAATCCATTGTTGATACAGCTGCAAGCCTATGAGTGTTAATTATGTCAAAGCATGATTAATTATAATGAGGCCATATAACAATGTTATTTTATCATGCCTGGAGTATCAGATACTGAACTGCCACTCATGCAGCAATAACTATTCAATGAATTATTATTTTTACACGTCGAGGAAATATAAGAATAGTGATGAGTTATCACAATATGACGCTATTTTTAATTACTATATCAATTCGATGGTGAGATTGACCAATGAAATTCTTCGAATTTCCATGAGACGTGTTTACATCAGTTCATAAGTTTACAAAAGCTTGAAGAAGACCTCAAACTAATGTTGTACTTAGCACCAGAGACGTATAATACAATGTATTATACGTCTCTGTTAGCACATACCATGTCAAACTTAGCTATATGTATATATCTCTTAGCAGTTAACTGCCCATGTTATGTGACCATTTTATTACCTTGATAGGTGACATTTCTCCTACAAGTAGCTAGGCTAACTAATCGACTGCGCACGGAGTAGAATACAGGAAACGAAGAGAGATAATTCTAATTATATTGTAGGGTTACTGCAGTGCTACAGTCACCTTTGCATATTTTCCTGCTTGATATACAGTTCACCTATATTTTGTTTTCCTTTATAATCTTAATATTAAACATTGTAATAACCGATATATTTTAAAGAAAGATATAAGAAATCACGAAAACAAGGTACAACAAGAACAGGAACGTCCGAACGATACCGAGATGTATACTTTACCGAATGAAAATCTAGTGTCTCGAAGGTTCGTGGTCGGCCTAGCCTACGTATACATATCTGATTATCCAAAACAAGATTTCAAGATTTTTCAAGATTTTTATTCAAACCCAGCCACACTACGTGTCGAGCAAGAGGTCACATATATATCATACATGTATACAATCATTCATGGTGAAAATAACATTTTATTTACACATTTATATAGATCTAGCAGTTTAAAATGCAAACTTACAATTACACATGTAAAGTACATAGAGTTAACCAGAGCCTATATATACGTCTCTGATACAACGTATTATTATTGCAACAATGATAATACATAAAATAATTTTCACATAGTGCAATGTCATTTTGAAATACCAGAAAAAGTCCTGTGAGGGATAAAGTTTTAAGTTTTACGTCGGTCGTCAGTTTACTTGAAAATTAACTAGAAAGATATTTGGTACGTAAACAACATTTGATACAGGATATGAACAAATGACCTGAATAAATAAAACAGTTAAGAAATTGAAATATAAAAGGCCGTCGCTATTACCACCCGAATGTCAATAGCCACTGCCGCGCGGCGTGGATATTGACACTCGGGGCATCTTCTCTGGAAAGCGGATACCGGGTGCATGGTTCCGGATTTCTATACATTTTTCTCGTTGCTTTGCAATAAATGTATCCAAGCATATATGTAACCTTTTTGTAATTACTTGTTCATCGCATTT